TACTTAAAGAAAAAAAATAAGAACAGCATGTGACATTGAATAAACAGTAAGAAAGAGAGATTTTGAAATTTTTTTTAAATGGATAGGATTGTTGTCCTGCTGGAAAATGAATGCCCTCTCCTTCCAAAGGTCATTGGCAGAAATAGCTTTCTTCCTTCCACTAAACTTTCTAGGAACATTTTCTTTTACTGTAAACACCAGATTTGTATGCACAACTAACATTTAAAACAAAATCTTGCTGTTTTAATTGGTAAACAAATTACATTTAATTGAAATAACTTGTATAAATGTTTTAAATGACAATGAAGCATTTTTTCATAAACCAATGTAAAGCCAAACTAAAAGAATATAACAAGGAAATTAATTTAGGATCATGTTAAATTAATAGGTTTTATTAATTGCAGTTATCTAAAAATCAAAAGTAGTTTACATTTTTCAAAAACACGAAATATTTTTGAAAGACGGTAAGCTCAATTCCCTGCTGAATATTTTTAGTAAAGGCCAATGTAAAACAGACGACACTGAAGGCAGCTTTTAATATTTTATTGCTTTATTACTTAAATCACAGTGGTGGGACAACTAAACTAGGCTACAGTCGGTGTCAGGTAAATTTTAAGCGACGTCACTTTTACAAAATTCTCTAACGTGTTTAAGTCTGCTCTGTTGCCGTTGACATAAGAAAGGTAAGCTGTTAAAAAGCGGCGATATATCAGGTTAATCTTTGATAACTTTTATGGTTCGACGCACTCGCTCGTCCACGTCGGTATGTTTTCTTTCCACGTGGACGCGATGCGCGTCGCCGCGCCTAGCTCTTCGCGGAAGTGACGGCAAGGCGGCGATGGCGGCTCGCAGCTTCATTCCGGACTACCAGTGGACTACAAACTGATTTTAAGCCCACCGGCTGGACTTCGGGGGAACTTTTACTCAAGCGCCTCTCTTCGGATGCCGCACAGAGCGAAGCCGCGTCATACCGGTGCATGTCAGCGAGCGGCTTCACGGCTTTTTGGGGGTATTTTTATCCTCGGTTTCAAGGTGGTCACCCCGTCGAGCTAGCGGTAGCTTCTCGGCTATCGGCTAACGGTGGTTTGTGCTGTGGTTCATACAGCAGCAGCAGGCGACGTGAGGCGG